GTTTGCAAACATTTGACTATTTTTGCTTGCGTTTTAATAAGTATAAGCGTGACTGAGTACTAAAAGTGATGAATTATATAAGCCTACGAATTATTTAGAAATAGTGGTGGATAAAAACCTACTAAATTGAATTTATTAAACCAAGGATCACAATTGATAAACTACCACTTTAAAAAATATTTTTGCTGTCCGGAGCAAGTTGGCATCTCTGCATATGCATTGAATGCTGTAAAGATCAAATAATTAAACACGGAAAAATATCGAAACAAAAATTTCAACAGAACAAGTGAGTAGATTAAAAAATATTCAAAATGTTTGTGTGAGCTCGTATTTAGAGAGTTCTTTTTGCTGATACAACCTCATGTTGCAGTCAAAGTAAATTAAAGACGATGCCATCAATGATTTACTTTTAGAGTTGAAAGTAAAATTAGAGAAAAAATTTATTTTAGAGAAAAGAAGCATCTCAAACAAAAAAAATGTCTCCTCTTTTAAAACTAGCCAATTTTTATGATATAAAATTAAATGCAAACTTAAGCAAAAAAAATAACCATTTATTTATTTAAATTAAGCTTTATTATTCATAATTGGTAAATTTGTTTTTTTTTACACACAATTATATCAGTTGGGATCATTATTATAGACGATGAATTTTGTTCATAGATTATTTCTTCATGACGCCAACAGAAATGGCATTTTTGCCCCCAAAAAATGATGCTAACCATATAAAAAATAATGTAAATTCGATAACAATAATGATAATGAACGATCAAACTCAATCAACGACCATATGACTGTGGAACGATGAGAGGTCGAACCCGAGAGGTTTTACTCTACCCTGATCATTATAGACATAAATCATCACAATAATTAAAAATATAAAATAAGCGTACTTACGAATGCTGCCGTATGCATAATCTGTTAAGACAAAGAAGAAAAATATTGTTATAAGTTAAATAAAACTGACGTCATCACCGAGGCGCTTTTAACATGCACCACTCTAAAATTTGTAATTTTTATAATTAATAATTTGCCACGACAGATTTAGATCTATTAAATATAGTTTTATAATATAGTTACTAAAGTATAGTTTTATAATATTTATATTGGAACTCAGGTCAACGCAGGCTACGTCAGGTTACATGGCTACAGAAAGGCCACGGGCGACTAAAAATGACAAGAATGATGGAAACTGAGTTCATTTTTATTTATTTAATATCAACCAATCATAAGTACTATTAGGAATTGCATTTCAAATTATTAATATTTAAAACAAAAACATAATCTAAAAAATATATGTAATTTGCAATATAAGTCGAGGTCGTGGATATGATTAAATAATTAAATAGATTAGATAAATAAAAATGAATTAAGATCATATCACATCTTCAATTTTTAGGAGCACACGGCATCCTTGTATGGCAAATGAGGGTAACAGTAAAGGTTTGCATGGGGTAAAGAAGAGAGGCAAAGCACTGGGGATCTATTTTCTTTTACGCGATATGCATTCGTTCGTATGAATATTTCTCATAGAATTAATTTGTACTAATAAACACACATTAGTACTAATTTGTACTAATAAACATTCGTTTATTCATAAGCTCAAATGTTAGGCTATTTTTTTTTTTTTTTTNTTTTTTTTTTTTTTTTTTTTTTTTTTTTTTTTTTTTTTTTTTTTGCAATATGTAAAATTTTGAAACACCCATCCATCTTCAGAGATGCCAATTTGCTCCGGACAGCAAATATATATTTTAAAGTGGTAGTTTATGAATTGTGATTTTTGGTTTAATAAATTCAATTTAGAATATTTTTATCCACCACTATTTCTAAATAATTCGTAGGCTTATATAATTCACCACTTTACAGTACCTATGTCATGCTATACCTTTTAAAAAGCAAGCAAGATTAGTCAAATATTTGCGAAATGTACATAGTAGTTATTTGCCCCTATTTTAATTATTTTGACGTGTCCGGAGCAGTTGGCATCTCTGCATCTTTCTATCAAAAGAATCGTTTTGAAAATCAAATAAATTTTAGATAATATGCTTAATGAGTATATTTTTATAAATTGATCTCTATCCCAACCACATTTTAACATAACATTAAGAGGATAAAAACTACCCTGCATCGGATTAAATAAACCTGCTTCTAAAAAGTATCTTAGATATTAATGTTTCAATTTCCGACTTTATTCATCGCCATGACAAGAACTTGTTATGCTAGTTGGGCCTCGTACCGTCCCCTATCCTCTTCATCGTGAATTATTCAGCATTGTATGAGTTCTTTGTGGTCAGCAGTCAGTGTGGTAGCTATGAGACCTGCCAACTACTATGCGTTCTGCAAAATAATTAATAGAGTGGTAGACATTTAAAAACCAAAGCTGTTTTGGTGATTTTGTCAACATTTTAAAAATTTCAGCACGAGAGAGGTGGATTAATTTATTTGAATAACAAACATTTTCAGGCTTGTGCTATCAATTTAGGCTTATAAACCTTTGTTAAATAGAAAGACAGATAGCACAGTACAGAGAAGGATAGCACCAAGCTATATCCAGGGTAACAGCGGGATTTGAACCCGCTACCTCCACGCTTTGCACTGCATTCGGTGGGTGATACCGCTCGGTCAGGGAGGAACCGAGAGAGCTTGAACAGAGGCGTTTCATATGGACTGTTAAATGATTTACATGCAGTGGTGAGAAAAATTAGTTCAAAGGAATAATAAATTATACATTAAAACTCAAACTTAGGTACCACTAGAATAAATTTTTACAGAAAGATTAATAGTTGGCAACCCTGCAAGATAATTGTTTTACGTCAATTATGTCTCTCATTTTTCAAAAATCAATTATTGTACATATCAAATCATGATTTATCGTTTTAAGTCTACAATCAATATTTTTAGTGTAATGTAAAAACGTCAATTTGCTATTTAGAACTTTTTCGTTGTTTTATTATTTCACAAGCAAACGGCTTGATTTTTTTATGGCTACCCCAATGTTTCCCAAATCAATGTATTTCACCTTACTGTATGTAATTTAATGATGAATAGGATAGGAACCGCTTCGCGCCCAGTTTATTTAAATAAAGATAATTGTTTCAAGTTTAAAGACTTCCAATTTCCAGAAGGCGCGGAGAGGCCTTAATTATTACAACCCAGTGCCTGAGGCAAAAGCTGCTCCCATGTTTACTGAAGAGACTCATTCGGCCTCTGATACAGATGTTCCCGAGCAGTCGACACTCCAGATCGAAGAGACTCCTACCTCAGAGCCTGAAACAACTGAGATTGAGCAGATAGCCTTACCGATCGAAGTCTCGGAAATTGCAACTAAGCTAAATGCAGATTCAAACAGACCTGAAAAGAAGAAGAAAAAGTCTACTCCATCTGCTTTCCTTTTGGACTTAGAACCTTCATCATCATCAGAGGATAAGAACAGCGAAGCCCCCCCCTCCCACTCCTGCTACCCCAGCTACTTCCGAGAGAAACTACAAAGTTCTATTCATGTATTTCCATTCAACTTCAATCTAGATCAAATTTCTTTAGAAATAGAGCCGAGCAGAAAATCTTCACGCTATCTCAAGGCTCCTACTACGGAATCATATCAGCTCATCGACTTGTTTCTATAGTGAAAGAACTTTACAGAAAGAAGAAGTTTTTACCCTTCTTCAAACTATCCTACAGGGAAAGACCCCTGTTTCTCCATCTCACTTAGAACTTTTACATTCACTAATTCAAGTTTTCAAACATCTCTCTTCTCATCTCTTGGAGTCATGCTGCGAACTTCAAAAATTTTCCCACTCGGATGAATGAGTTAGTTACGGCATCACCTCCTACATTAAATAGACTCCACACGGTCTCTTATAAGTAGTCCGCGCAGACTGCTTAAAAAGTGAACCAGTTGTGCGCATGAACCCAAAACCTTTAATAAAAGTAAGTGAGAGAAATTTATCATATATATTTGAATCTGTAGTGGTTGACAAGTGAATAAGGCAAACCAATAATATTCATAAATAAAAAAAATTTTAGTCATATATTTGCTACCACTTTCTTGTTTCAACTAAATTTTGTATTAACTGACTCGTTCGGAAAGTGGATATCCTGCACAGTGGTCTGATCGGACTACCTATAAAAAACCGTGTTGGTTAAGGCCCCTTCGGGGTCGATACTTAGATAATCATCTAGAGAAATTATAGTGCCCTTAGAGGAATTGGTAGTGCCGTTAAGCTTAGTATACGAAGTCGTCGTTCTCTCTCTCAGCCTAGGTTCTCATGGTCTGGAAATTGAAATTTTTGTTAAAGTGGTAGCAAATATGAAATAAATCGTTTTAATTATAATAATCGTTTCCAATAAAAAAATTTTTAAAGGAAATATATACATATATCATACCTGCCAACTTTTAATCCCTTCCATTATCATTTTTCTCAGTGGTATTAAAACTTCAATTTTAAGCAAACAAATACGTTGCATTTGTAAAAACTTAAGTTGACAACCATGATAGTACCGCATATTAATGTATGTGCTTAATTTTTGGAAGAATAGTGCTGATCAAAATCATTTAAAAATTAAGTTTATAAAAGAAAAAATAGTATATATTTACTACCACTTTAAATATAAAAATAAAATCTTCCGGAAAATCCGGAAGAGCTGGCAGGTATGATATATAGGCGCAAACAATACTTCTTGAATACTATTGTAGCTCTAAAATTGAATTGTGAATTTAACTCATTTAGTGAAGGTGTCAGTTACTCTTGGTAACTATTTAACAAAAAAATTCTTAATCAAAAACTTACAACCAGGTCTTTAATTTGATTGTTTCCTCTTATTTGTGATTTTAAATAAATTGGATCCAAAAGGTTAATTAGTTATTTTAAAGTAACCAGTAATAAGTAAATCTATCATTTTTTTCAATAACCTTTCAAATGTTTTGAAAACGTTCACGATCATTAAAATTTGTAATCGTCACACAACTTAAAAAAAAAATAAACACAAAAAAAAAATATACATACTAGAACCAAGAGGTCCTACTTAAGAAAAGGAAATAAGATTATAATACGTACATATCTTTTCCATGAAAAATCATTTTATTTTGTGCTCTTAGAGCACAAAATAAAATTATTTTTAACTAATTAACAATAACAATATAGCCTTACATTTCATTATTTTTTTATAGAAAAGAAATTTTAGTTTTTAATTCTGTGTCATTATTATTTTTTTCTAAAAAAAGCATTACTTAGAGATTCAAAAATAAAATTGACATGCACTCCATTTCAAATTTAATTAATCTCTACAGTGCTTATACTTAATAGTTGCTTTTCAAAATGTCAGCACATTTTGTGTAAATAAGTTATTTCGGACCATTTTCATAACTACCGCAAAATAATAAAAATAAATATTTTTAAAAAATCAAAAAAATGTTTTTAAGAAAAATTAAGTAACTAATTAAAGAAAATTGAAATAAAAAATCAAAATTCAAAGAAAACCACAACTGAATTGATCATGTCAGCGAAAAGATTGTGTCGGAGAAATGAATTGTCGACGATGTGGGAAGTGTTGGCACAGTGATCGTGTCGGTGTTGTTGTTTCTAATGCTACTTGCCAATATCTACAAGCCTGCTTGGAGAAACCAAGCGAATGTAAGGCAAATGGCGTGTTTCTTGTTTTTCATTGGCTCTTCAATGGCCAAGAATAAGACTTCAGCAACACACGCCTCAAAACCCTTTTATTGGGCGAACTCATTTATACATTCATATATTCATTTGCAAATCGGAATTATGACATGAACCAAAGAACGATCTATCTCTAATTCAGTACCCCCAGAGGTATGACTTGTTATGGGAACATGGTGGATTCGGTGAACAGACAGATTTAACGTGCACCAGCCACCATTTATTTTATGGGGAGTCTTCGGTCAGCAGGGGTCGAACCCGCTACTTCTTGGACATGAGCCAACAGCCTACCTACCAAGCTATCCCAGACTGTGAGCTGTCGCTGAAGTGATCTTGTTCACAAAGTGACGTAGGCGATATGAACACTGCCCTTTAAATGATCAGGATAAACTATTCTACCACTTTTAATTTAGGATGCCTTTTGTTATTAACTTCTGCTCTGATGAAGTACTTCTTCACAAAAATGATGACCATGTTCTAGTTTTAGGAAAAGTATAAAAAAATGAATAATTCATTTTATAGTTTGTAGAATTTATAAAATTCATTTTAGGACATGTAATGGGTGGTGATAAACATACTTACCATCAAAGAGGGAAAAAAATGGCGGAAAATTCAATTCTATCGAAGAATCTAAATCATATGGTATTTTAATTGCAAAAGTTTTTTAATATAACTTAATTAGAAATAGCTAGACCGAAAAGGTATAAACGAAAGTGTGCAGCGTCATATCAAAAACATAAAATAAAAAGTGGTAGCCAATTTAGTTTTTACTAAGAAGCAATTGATTTAAATTATTTCAATTTAATTTAAAGCTAACAAACATTTAGGTTTCAGATTTCTGTTTATTTTAGAAATAATATTGTTTGCAATCTTAGAACTAATCACTGTATAAACTAATCACTTGTATAAAAATCCCGCAAAAAAATGAAGATTTATCGTTTCTTTGAGAGATAAACAAAGAGAAACTATACTAGTCTTCGGATAGTCTTTTATTTTTTAAAAGATGCTGCGACGATTATTATAAAAGAGAATTATGAGTTTGAATAAAAATAATCTTGATATCAGTTTATAAGTATCTCTTAAGAATTCATTAAAATATTCAAGAGAATTTGAAACAGTACTTACCGCACATAACAATGCCAACTGAAATAAAATTTGATATAAAATATTATTAAAACATAGCTCAATTTTTTACTGGGTATATTTTATCTACATAAAGACTATAGATCAGCTGTTCCAAAATAGTACTTCGGGGAAGATAAGGTTCTGTGAAAGTGTCAAACAGGTTTTATTTTAAACTGTTTTCTTTAACATTTTTTAAACTTGTAGTTATATTTAAATCCACTAAATAATCCATTATTTACTTAATAATTTGGTTGCTTGTACTATATTATTTAAAGTAAAATGCTAACGAAAAAGAAATACCAATTTTTTTTTTGGATAAAGAACACATAATTTATCAAATAACCATGTATTGAATAAACTATGATAAACACATGCATTTTTAAGTTATCCACTTTGCGTTCCACGACGCCCTTTTCAAACCAAAATAAACTAACTAAATCGTTAATAAAGAATTATGTTTCCCTAATAGCGATTATCAAAGTTGATAACAATTTTTCTTAGTGTGAATTTAAACGAAAACCATAATTCGGCTTCACTCATTCACTTTCAGCTTATGTTTAAACACCAAGAACAAATTCATACAATAGATTCAGCTTCAGACCTTGACTTGACTTGATAGAAATTGGAGCGAAGTACCTGCCCGCGGAGCGGGCATCTCACTTCTTCATCTGGTCTTTATGATAGTAGTTGTGACTATTGGCATGGGTTCAGCTTCAGACCATGGGTGAAAGCCCTTATATAGCAAGACGGAAAAGAGAAAAACCTGGTACGTAAAGCATTTCATTCCAGCATTGTTTTCGAAAAAAATGAAATATCTGTAACTATCAAGATTTCTTTTATAATTCTGACATATATATAAAACTGCTTCTTTTCCAAGATAAAGTAGATATTGTTGAAACATTTAAAAAAAGAATAAGTAAATTCCTCCCCAAAACTAGCCATAACTGAAATGGTTTTACTACCAGCCTTTCTTCTTTTCCGTCTCGCTTTCACCCCTGCTTCAGATAGTGAATTTAGTTTTTGAAAATAAAACCTAATTTAAGATTATAAATGATAAGGTGAAGAACAATTTTATTACCGCTATAATTAAGAAAATTATTCATATATAAATATTGCCGTCTTATAAAGTTAGTAATGTTATTTCAAATTATGTTTATATTTATATATGTCAATATGTGTCACTTTAGATTCGATATTCAAATGTTATATCTACTATATTTATCTATGTCAACCTATGCAAATGTATTTCAAATTATGTTTATATTTATATGCTTATATTTATATGTGTAAATTTAGTTTCGATATTCAAATGTTTATTTACCCAAGCAAAGTGCTTGTAATTTTGTATTAGCAACCACATCGACTGCTAAATTCAAAATGTTATCACTTTAAACTTATGCAAATTTCTAGATGTATGGGATAGGGGCAGCTGCGCGGCCCAGGTGCCCAATTTTTTATTAATAAAGTAAAGTAAGTTAGTAATGTTAAATTCCTTATACTCCTGCATTCCAATTACCAGAATGAACTACGTTAAAGATCATGGGTTTATAAATAAATATATATTGGGTTATAAACCCAATGCATGTACCCTCTGCACAGTGGTAATCTATTAATTTTAAACAGCATATTAATTTTCTTCTCTCATTTTAATACTAAAACTACCCATTACGAACTCAAAATTAGATCTTAATTTTCATAATGCTTTCTAGTCTGCAAGGATTATCTTTTATTTCTTGTAACCGCGATTTCCAATTTCTTCCGGCTACGAAATAATTAATGGCTACTTAATAATAATTTCGTACGCATAATAATTTAATGTTAGTATTTATTTCTTTTTAAATATTTTTAACTGTAAAATAAAAATAAATTCTTGTTCTGAGATATAACACTGAATATTAAATCTTAATATTAAATCCAAATGGCCCTGAAATATTAAATCTTAGAATTACGAAAAATAATTAAGTGTTAATATGTGAAAAAAAAGAATTAAATGTTAGCATAATAGAAAATAATAAATGTTTGTATAGTCAAAAAAATATTTTAAATTATGTAAAATAACAGTAAGATATTAAAAATTACAGCAAATCTTAGCATTAGGAAAAAGAGTTAAATTTCAGCATTATGAAAAATAAATAAATATTAGTATAATAAATAAATATTTGTATTATAAAATATAAATAAATATTAGCGTTATGAAACACAAACTTTTAAATGTTTGAAACCACAATAAATCCTTCTTATGAATCATCACTGCAAAACAACACTAAAATGTTAAAACTTAACATTCGGAAAAATAATGAAATGTTAAACATGATAAAAAATAGTCAAATGTTAGTGTTACGAAAAATATTTTTTTAAACTCTATAAGGAGTAACATTTCTTGCTATATACTATCATTGAAAAACCGCATAAAAAAATTAAAAATAATAAATAGAAAATCGGTACACTTTTAAAAATTTTAGATATTGTCGAATGATAATATCGTTTAAGTTATGCATCGAAGTTGCCAGATACACATAACAAAAATATATCACTGTTACAATACTTTACATACTTTACTTTATTTGCAAAAATTGGGCACCTGGGCCACTTAGCGCCCCCTATCCCATACATCTAGAAATTTACAGAAAATTTATAGTAATAACATTTTGAATTTATCAGTCGATGTGGTAGCTAATAGAAAAACAAGCACTTTGCTTGACTAAATATAACATTTGAATATCTGATTCATCGAATCTAAGTTGACATATATAAATATAAACATAATTTGACATATATATACATAAGTTGACATAAATAAATATTAACATAAATTGATGCATATTTCACTAATTAAATTTCTATATTTAAACTAGCACACATTAAATTATGACATACATTGAAGTTCATTCGAATACATTGTGGTAGCCATAAAAAATCAAGCCGTTTGCTTGTGAAATAATAAAACAATAAAAAAATTCAATATTACAAATTGACTTTTTTACTTAACACTAGAAATATTGATTGTAGACTAAATCAAAAATAAAGATAAAACATGATTTGATATGTACAATAATTGATTTTTGAAAAATGAAAGGCATAATTGATGAATATAGATAAATCATACCTTGATACATGATAAAATAACATATTTGGAGACACTGTTACAATACAGAAATGCCAACTTGCTCCGGATAGAAAATATATATTTTAAAGTGGTAGTTTATCAATTGTGATTGTTGGTTTAATAAATTCAATTTTGTAGATTTTTATCCACCACTATTTCTAAATAATTCGTACGCTTATATTATTCACCACTTTATAATAATTATGTATTACTATTCCACTTAAAAAGCAAGCAAAAATAATCAAATGTTTGCTAAATTTACTTTGTAGTTTACCGTTTTATTAATCATTTTGGCGTGACTGGAGCAGTTGGTATCTCCGCAATAAAATACATAAACAAATAATTATTCTAAGTTAAGTTAAAGACGAAGAAAAGAAAGAATTATATTTCAATAAATTCGATGCGAGATACGGTGCTGTAATTCATTAACTTCACGTTAATTCACATTCTAAACTTACGTAGAGAAACGTAGCTCAATTTTAACATGCCATTTGGTTTATAAGTATTCGAATCCATTCAAGCATCAATTCTCTTAAACGACACATTCTATATTCTTTCACAAAGATTTAAATTCTTTCACTATATATTTCTTACTTAGCGCTAAGACATATAGCGCTTGACGTTTAAGCTTACAGCATAAGCTTACAGTTATCGTTTAAGCTTACAACAACCTTAAAATATTTAATGGGTTTCTTGGTAAAACTTTTTAATTTTATCTACTTGATCTGTTTCTTTTTGCAATTTTTTAATGTTTAACTGTCACTAAAACAATAAAAAACACAACTCTCATGACATGACATGACCCGTCTTTAGTGGCAATTGAAACATGTAAAACGACGTCGTCCATTTATATATATGACCCTTCCTAGGAAGTAATAATTAAAAAAATTAAATCTACGCCGCCCGTTCTAGGGAGTAATATATGAAAAATGCAAATCTATTTGGCCCTTAGTTGGAAATAATTATGGAGAAAGGTTAATCTACATTGCAGGTCCTAGAAACTAATAACTGAAAAATGTAAATCTACATGACCCATCCTAAAAATTGACAATGGAAAAGCGTAAATCTAAGCCATCCGTTCCAGGAAGTGACAATGAAAATCGTAAAATTTTACGTTTTTAGTGACCATTCCATTGTTTGAAAGTTTGTTTATCTTGATGTTATAACGGTTAAACATAGAACAGATTTTTCTGAGAATGTAGGGAAGTCTTGGTTTGAAAGGAAAAATTAATATGCTCTTAGGTTTACAGCAAATAAAGTAATCGTGATGAGTAATTTTGATGAATGAAGTAATTTTTGATTTTTTTTTCTATGTATCACGCCCGTTAAAATATTAAAATGTCTAATAAATTAATAAAAACAATGTACAGACTTACTTAGAAAGTAACAACAAATATAGATCAGACTCAAACGGTTGTTCATCGTCAAGCTGGAGTGTTTTCCTTTAAAAAACTGGGATGAAAAATTCTTTATTTTAAGAAGAAAATTTTTTCTTAGTCTTCATCATTCAATCATACGTGATTTTCACTTAGAGTGTTAAAGCTGTAAGTGTAAATCTTCCGAAAAAAACTAAGAAGATTATGTATTAATAATTCTCATAGATAGTGTGAATTGTATGAACAAGCTACGTAAAAGTTGAAAATCGTGACTTTCCGAATTCGCCAGGCGAGAGACAACCTCGGAACATGCTTAGAAAAATCTGCGTATTTGAACTTCAAACTGTAATATTTACTTAGCTGTTGCTTTTTTAGATTTTCTGGGAGAATTTTTTTTTATATTTAAAAAGGTATCAAAATAGTATCATTCTTAAATTATTAAATTCATACCTGCCAACTTTTAATCTCTTCCATTATCATTTTTCCCAGTGGTACTAAAATGAAATTAAAACTTCAATTTTGAGCAAACAAATTCGTTGTATTTGAGAAAACTTAAGTTGACAACCATGATAGTAACGCATATTAATATATGTGCTTAGTTTTTGTAAGAATAGTGGTGATCAACATTTAAAAATTATGTTTATAAAAGAAGAAATAGTATATATTTACTACCTCTTTAAATATGAAAATAAAATCTTCCGGAAAATCCGGTTAGAGTTGGCATGTATGTTAATTGGTTTCAATATTATTTAATACGTATACAGAAATGATTCTGTTATTGTTAACGTAGTCCCTAACTTGCAAGGGTACTTGGATGAAGGTGTGACAACGTTATTAATTAATAATAATTTATTACATAAAAATAATTTTTTATATTTAAAACGGTAGCAATATAGTTTCATTAAGATAATAAATTCGATTAAATAATTTTTTGAATCATTACATGCAAAAATCTAAAATGATACAGTAAAGACTTTGTTATCCATAACAAAGTCAAAGAAATCATCAATGAAAGGAAAATACAAAGTCGTTGAAATGTATTAATAATTTATCAAGTAAAGCTAACTATTTATAGTTAAAAGGGTAGCAAATTAGTTTTATTCCAATTTTAAAAAAATTTATTCAATATTTTTTTCACACCATTATATGCAAATATTTAAAACGTATGCAATAAAATCCTTTTTATCATCAACATAACTCGGAACTTGCTGAAAAGAAAATATCAAGTTGTCGAAATAAAATAATAATTTATTAAGAAAAAGTTAACTTTTTTATATTTAAAAATGTAGAAAAATAGTTTCATTCAGTTAATAAATCTTATTCAAAGTACCTTTAGCACGTTCACGCCGGGGTGATCCACCGGTGGGTCACGCTAGATTGTCTCATCTTGGCAGCGCACTGGAGTAAAAACTGGTAACAAATAAATTTCATTTTTTAGTTTTTTTTCGGGAATAATAATAATCCATAACTACCAATTGTTTTTAACGGATGCAAATTTTATATTGAATTGTTTCTTCGCCGTATTAAATTTCCTTACAGTGAATTGTTATTGTTGAGAGTAGATTAACTCCTCCCGAATATATTGAAATAGTTCTTCTACCAGTATTTTCACTTTTCCCGGAGTGAACGTGTTAAACACCAATATATACAAATATTTTATAGGCAAACAGTAAAGACTTAGGTTTAATTAACATAAATCCAAACTTGCTGGGTTCTTGAAAAGAAAATACGCAATCATTGAAATCCCATATCCTATAAAAATTCGTTACCTGAGTTTACAGCCCATTTAAGGGCTTTAACTCATACATCTGATTGAGTGCGAAATAAGATTTGCGGAAGCGCAGCAATGATAATTCTGCGTATTTTCCTACATGTTAGAATATTTTTCTTTATGTTTTCATAAAGTTAAAATAAGTATCAACATAATTTCCCATTTAAAAAGCTTATATTTATTTAAGTATAATAATACTTTAACGAAATAACTTTCAGCAATTAATTTCTGAGCTAGAATGTCTTTTTCATAAGCGAGCCTCTCTCTTTATCGAATATATTTCTCAGTGGTGTCCACATTTTAGCAATATTTCCCTGAATTAAAATTCTGTGCCAGAGTTAAATATGTCGTGCCTAAGCCTGATTATTACGAAATTGATGAATTTCCAAAATTACATCTTTTTTACATAAATAGTTTTAAAGTTAGGTTTTTTTTTGTCGTATGCAGTGGGGGTTTGATTGCTGTTCCTGTTTTTCAGTGGCGCCATCTATGGCCAGGAATTCGACTTTTGCCACGCCATTCGCACAACCACAACCCGTTTATAAGGCGGGTCACATTCACACACAAAGGAGAAAGGACATAGAACACACACAGAGAGAAAGAGACATCCATGCCCTGACCGAGATTCGAACCCAGGACCTTTTTGATGCAAGGACAGTTCCTTGTCCCCTACACAGGCGGGTCGGCTAATGTTACTGTAAATTTGAATATGGTTACATTGAACATATATGATTCTCTTCCGGCACCTGGCGGGACGATACGACGGATGTAAAACAAAATAAAATAATTTTCACATTTTTAAACACATACATTTTTTTTAAAGAATTTCGTTTATCTAATTCATCACACATTTCATACATAGGTTTTTATTAACCATAGCTTTCTGTCCTTTAGTTCATTAAGTAATCTGAAATGATATGCAAATTCATGATTTAATAATAAAACATAATTATTAAAAATATTAGTTTAATAGTTTAATTATTTAGTTTACATGGTAAGTATAAAAAAATTGTATGAATGAAATATTTTCAAAAGATAAATTCAATGATGTCCAAACTTAGCCCCAACCGCATAAGCAATTTAAAAATCTGAAATGGGAACTGTAAGTTATTGAAAATAGATGATGATCATGATATCCAAACTTAACCCCAACCGCATATGCACGAGTTGGGATGAAAGCAATTTGAAAATCTGAAATGAGAACTGTAAGTTATTGAAAATAGATGGCGTTTTATAAACTGTACACATGCACTGTTGAACATTACATCAGAATAATTACTGTCTGTCTCGATCAATTAAATTTAAAGTTTGTCTAGTAAATATGTGATCGTCTTTCCGTTTAACACATCTCCATGATCAAAAGAAAACTCCATTTTTTTATTGCAGACTTGCATTTTCGACAGAAAAATATATCCTAGTTTGCATTTCAGTTCACAGATGACACTGCAATCGCAAGTTTGGTTGACAAGTCTTTGTGTATTGTTAGATAAAATTTTTGATAGATCATATAATTTGCAACTCATTTTCCTACTGACACTGAAGCGCCATCTGTGAACTAAAAGTCAACTATCTGTTACATTAGAGTATTTTTTTCAGAAAAGTTGATGTCTTGAATAAATAAAAGTTCAAGGTTCATATTTAAGATTTTAAAGTTGCCCCCCCCACCGCATCCTCAGGGAAAGAGAATGATGGGTCAAAATTATTATCATTAAATCTATTCCTTGAAAACATTGAACTATATTTTTCGCCGATGCGTAACTCTTGAAATATTAAACCACTATCCTGCCTTAAGTCTTGTAGATAAATGTTCTTACATTTGTAGAGATCTCTTTACATTAATTGTAAGAGAAAATCCGAGAATAATACACAGGACTGTTTTGTTACCATTTACAATGGAAAATTGCGAAGTAAATAGTTTGTCTGCGTTTAATTATTTTTTTATGATTTAAAACATGTTGTGTAGAAAAGGAGGCCAAATTCCGTCATAGCAGAGCCGAGGAGTTAAGTAAGATAGTATAACTTATAATAAATTAAATCTATACTATTTGAGAGCCTTGCACACAACGAAATTTTCTAAAGGTTACATAAAGCTCATTAGGCCTGGATAGCCTGATCGGTAGTGCGCTGAGCCCATGTACGAGAGTTCGTGGGTTCGAACCCCGCAGGCCGAAAACTCCCCGTGTAGTTGGTGCCTGATGTATGCTAAAATTCTGGCGAGTAGCAAAATCCTCCATGTTCCCATAACAAATCAATATCTCTGGGGGTACTGGATTGGAGATTGATTGTTCTCTGATTCAGGTCAAAATTACGATCTGAGGATGGATGCATGAATGGGTTTGCCTTATAAGCAGGTGTGACGTATGATGTGGCAGAAGTCGAGTTCTTGGTCATAGATGGCACCATTGAAAAACAAGAGTCGCACACTCTGCCTTAAATTTGTTCAGTTTCACCAAGCAGGCTTGCCCGTAAGGCAAGTGGCATTAGCACCAACCGACCAATAAGGCTCATTACAAATTTCAAATAAAAAAAATAAATAAAAATCTGTAATGTAACGTTTTTGGACAGCAGACAATGTACTACGTGTTTCAAGAAATGCTGATGACGAATGTGTTTAGAACATTCTGCTTCAGTTCGTGGTGACACAAATTCGTTGAACAAAAATTTTAGTGAGACAATTCGTTGGACATAATTCGTGAGACAATTCGTCGTAGCGACAATTCATCGCGGTCACAATCTGTCTCAAAAACAATTCATGCACACAATTAATCGTGGGCACAATTTGGAGAGGCGACAAATCGCAATGGGAGCAAGACGTCGAAACGACAATTCATTTTTGGCGCAGTTCGATACGAGAACAATTCTTTGCAGTTACAACTCGTAGTAGGGACATTCGTCATGAGTAAATTTTTTAGCATTTTTGATGAAATACATCCATTTACGAAGACAATACTTTTGCATAGTCAAACAAGGCTAAATAAATATTTAATTTGTGGTCGCTTAAATATTACGAAGGCGTCTAGGGGGGGGGGCGGTATGAGCAGTGCTTGCGCAAGACGTGGAGAGAGAGAGACAGGGAGAAGTCCCCTTATTTTTAATTATTTTTAAACGCAAAAAGTTGTCGCAAAAATATTTGGGAAGATATTCATAAATTTTTAACAGCTATGTAATTTCTTTACGACGCTGCGATCATTGGATTTAAGGAATTTGATGAATATTACGAAACAGTTTAAAAATGATAGTAAACTGTTATATGGAATTTTGCAAATGAATTAAAAAAAGTGTTTAAAAATCCATTTTTCGTGTATGAAATATTATCTTTTAAGAGCTCGAGTGAGAGAATAGTCCGCATTTCCCCCACAAGTTTCGAATCAACAACAGTTT